GAGTGCATCACAGCTGAAACAAAGCTTTGAAAATAGCTTAAAGTTAAACTAAGATGTTTTTGTTAAATAGCTTTGAGGTGAAAAACTCAAGAAGACAATCTACAGTTTTAGAAAGGCACATAGCTGAGTGAGGAACTCGTTAAGGTCAGGGGACAAGAACAAAGCAGCCCAATTATCATTAGCTGACATGCCTTTCTTTCTGGGATTGGTTGATGACCAAAAGTGATAATTAATTCCTTGTACTCATTTCTGCCCTCAGTCTTCTGATATAAAAAACTATTGATGAGTGGGTATGTACCCTAAAGATTTAAAGTAGAGCTGACTGATTGTTTCTCATGTATAAAACTTTCAGTTTGTGATTCCTTTAAGATTCCTTACGATAACCTTTCAAGATAAGTAATAAAGTGATTGGTCCTTTCTTTGTAACTGCAAAACACAGCTTGCCAGTAAAAAAAAAAAAAAAAAAAAAAAAATACCTTGCTCGCCTACACTGTTAATTCATAACAGGTTGCTAGGATATGAATGTACACGAGTTCTTGGGATAAAATGTTTAATCATGTAAGGGACATGCAAAACTTGCTGGGTTTTTTTACTTATATTCACTTGAAAAATAGAATGTAACCACACTGTAATTTTTATACTGCCTGAAAGATTTTGCTAGGGTATATAAGCTGTAAGGGAAAGAATAAAAAAGAACAAGGAGTTAGAAGGAAAACATCAAGAGAGACAGAAGGAACATTTCTGGATAGAGATAAGAAAAGAGAAAAAGAACACAGAAGAAGAATAAAAGAAGGAAATCAAGAGTGTCTTTTTTGCTGCAGAATAATCCTTCTGTACACTATAAATATGTATTACTATCATTGGTTAATAAAAAGCTGACAGGCCGGTAGCCTGACAGGAAGTTAAGAGGGAAAGCCAAACTGAGAATGATGGGAAGAAGGAGGGCGGAGTCAGAGAAGTTGCCAGCAGACATCGACAGAGCAGGAGATGAATGTGCCATGCTAATAAAGGTAATGCCACACGGCAGAGGATAAATAAGGAATATGGATTAACTTAAAATGTAAGAGCTATGCCAGGAGCCATCCCCCAGCAGTGGACAGGTCCCAGCAGAGGATGTAAGGAGTCGGCGGGGGAAGGAGGTGAGCCAGGCCATGGCAGCGACAAAAATCTTGCAGCCTGACTCTCTCTCTAGCAGCCAGAGTGCTTTTTTATTTATACAGAACTTATTAATCAAAGATGGATTCTTGTTGTTCCAAAACACAGATCATATCACTTTTGGTTTTGGATATGTGTTTGGTTTTTTATCCATCTTTTTGTCATCATTGGTAACTTATGACAGAATAGATTTCTCATTTTCAGTCATTTTCCCTCAGGTTTTGACATCATTGGTGAACAGAGTTATCATCTTTACTTATTAACCCATAGCCCAATTTTTAAGAATCTAGAGGCATATGATAGCCTGTTCTCAGGCTGGTGGCTTTGGTTGCTTCAAGGATGCTAGACCAATACAAAATCTTCAAGCCAGCCCAGGCATATTGCTATGTCCCAAGCAAGTGTACTATTAACTCTTAAAGGTCAGAATGCCCAACAAAAATCATTAGGCCAAAATTGTTGCAGTTATTATTCAAATTCTGACATGGTAACTTCAGCTAATCTAACTTTGTTGTATGTACATGTCACGTAATTGTCTGAGTATATAATGGGAAGAGGCTTGCAATCTGATCTGTAACCACCTCCTCTAGCCCAGTGAATCTTGTTAACCTTTTTAAGTTTACTTTGTTTTGATCATCTTGTTCCTGAGTAAGTACAGGAGTTTTGAAAATGTCTCATAGCCTCATTAAGAGACCTCTGGCTTCTTTATGTGTGTCACAATCTCCAAAGCATAAGGAAGACCTTCCAGTAGATAAGGATATCTCCCTAAAAGTGGGAGGGGTAGTATGTTCAGGACTTTCCTGGGGAAGCTTAGAAGCAATATTCCTTGGAGAAGGCATAAATGGTTCATATGAAATTTCCATCAATCCAATATCCTCAAATTGTACAGATATTAAAAGTCTCCCAAGCATGCAACAGGTGGAGATGAAAACCAAAGGTGGCCCGGCAGCCATCATGTAGCTCAGCTTTGCTGGATCTTGGTCAAGCAGCTGTGCTGGCCTTTAACTTTTACAGTTCCCATCAGATATGGCTGTGCTAGAGCTAGTTAGTAATAAGATAAGCCTGAGCTATTGGCCAAGCATTTACAATTAGTATAAGCTTCTGTGTGGTGATTTGGGATCTGGCAGGTGGGAAAGAAACATCCATCTACACTTTTTCCCTTAACCCCCTCAGATAAAAAAAAGTCATAGTACGCCTGGCCAACTCTGTGGATTTCCCTATGAACCCTGTGCTGCTAGAGGCTGGCCCCCAGGCAGCAAAAACATTGTGACTCAAACCATCACAATATTTGTGGGAATATTGTCTTGATTATTAATTGTTATGAGTGTACAGCCCACTGTGGGCAGTACCATTCTCTGGGCAGATAGCCCTGGGCTGTATAAGAAATCTAGCTGAGCCTAAGGCCACACAGCCACCAGGCAGCATTCCTCTGTGGCGTCTGCTGTTCTTCCTTGGCTGAGAGTGTGTTCCTTTGTCAGAGTTAAGGCTTCAAGGAATAGCAAGCATGCCTGCCTTCAAGTTCTAGTTTGAGTTCCTGCTCTGACTTCCCTCACTGATGAATGGTGATCTGGAAGTATAAGCCAAATAAACACTTTCCTTCCCTAAGTTGATTTTGATCAGAGTATTTTATCACAGCAACGAAAGTGAAACTGGACCAGGAACCTAGGCTGATCCCTAAGTTAGTACTGTGGATGGTACTACAGTGAAGCATAGTTTGTTTTAAGGAGGCAGCAGATCCCATGGGTGACAACTTCTTTGGATTTTTGAAGCATGACAAATAAATCCTCATCCCACCCCAGGGACTGGCCAGGTGGGGCAGATGAAAGAGAGAGCTAACTGTTCTCCCCAATAGTGTGAGGAGAATGTGGAGATACTGGGGGAAGCTCTGCAAACATGCCAGGGACCCTGGGATCAGAAGAAAGGGGAGGTGGGGGGGAGAGAGGCTTAGAAGCACAAGGGAAGACCAGGATCCTAAGAAGAAAGACCTGCCCCAGTTCCATGGAAGAACGAGCAGGGGATTGGAGGCATCAGTAGCTCTCTATGCAGAGTGAATCTCTCTGCTGTCCTACCCTGCCCACCCCAGGTCCCACACACAGCCACATGGTGTAATTTGATGAGTAAAGCTTTGAGGAAATCCAGACAGGGAGTTCTTGTTTCCTGAGGCTAACACAACCAAATACCACAAACTGAATGGCTTGTGAATGAAGTGCCCATGCAAAGCCTAGTTCTCACCTCAAAGGTGATTAGTTTTTTATTGTAGATATGAGGGAAAGTACAGCCAGAGACATCTGGAAGAGTCTAGAGCAGAAAGAGAAAGTAGGAGACTGAACACAGCCAGCAGACTGAACCAGGCCATTGTAGGGGGGTTAGGTGGGGAAGCTGAAAAGGAGAAGAAGAGAAAGGGGACAGGAAAGGGGGAACCCAGAGAGCACATGGTTGAAATGGCAGGTTTTTATAGGAACCAGCAGCTGGGGGAAGGGAAAGGATGCTCCTCCTGGGCTGGAGAAGTTTAGGGGGCGGGATAAGCACAGCTAGGACTCAGTAACAGGGGCTTTCCATGCAGAGAGAGCCTAGAGGCCAGCGGGAGCTTTGGTGTGCTAATAGCGCCACAGTTGGCCATTTGGCACAGGTTTCTTCTGTACCTGATGATAAATTCAACCCAGATAGGGGTTTTCTCCAGTGGCATCTCCCTGGGTATGCTAACCACAACTCAGGGCAGGCCCCACACCCAGGAGTAGCTGGCCAACACAAAACTAACTCGGTTATATTTTTGTAAACTTTTTGTCTCATTTTGCCCAGTTGGGGCATTTATTGTCTTACTGGTCTTTTATTTGTATATATTTGTTTTTCCTTTTTTGTGTGTTTGTTTTCTTTTAAGAGAGAAAGAGATAAAGGATATAAAGTTGGATGGGTAGGGTGGTGGGGAGGATCTGGGAGGGACTGTGAGACAAAAAAAAAATGATCACAATATATTGTCTGAGGGGAAAATCTATAAACAGAAAGGAATAAAAAAGGGGAAACTAAAAGGTCAAAACTCAAGATCAAAATCCCCTACTTTACAATCAGGCGCTAACTGCCTGGAGCCTGGCCAGGCTTGGGATCTCTTAAACAAATAACTACAGCCTCAGAGCCCTGGTGCCTGGCCCTGAATGGCTGGTCTTGGAAAAGATGAGAGGTGTTGTAAAATTACTACCCGACAAGACAATAAACTGCCAACCTACAATCTCTTCCAATGTAATGCCACACAAATGACCCAAGGCAAGGACAGATAACTTCTCTGAACTGTCATAAAAAGTGCCATTCCCCATTGGGGGTGCAATTTGCTCTCTCTCCTCCTCCCCCTTCCCCCTCTCTCTCCCCACCTTCTCTTTCTCTCCTCCTTCCCTACCTTTCCCTCCATGTTTCTGTTCACAGTGTATGTTCTTTATTAAAACATTTGTATCAGTTCTTGTCTGGTGAATACTTCTACACAGACACATACCATGCCCTGGACTCATGGTTGCTGGCACAACATAGATCTGCTTTTCAGAAGGACACCATCCGTGCTGGTTAGGTCCCATCCTGATCACTTCATTTTAACTTAATTCCTTTTTTATAAGGTCCCAAGCTCCAAGTGCAATACCATTCTGACATTCTGCATGTGACACTTTCCCAAAAGCAGACTTTGGAAGGAACCCTCCCACAGAATTTTATTCTAGACAAGGCCATAAAAACTCTGAGGGGCAGCAGATAAACTAACATGGGAGCCTAACATTACATTTATTGGTTCTCAGTGGTGCTTCAAGGAGGACTTTGGTGCTTGAAAGAGAAACCTAACATTTCTGCCCTTGTGTTTTTTAATTTCCAAGGCAGCTGCAGAAACTGCCAGAGCCTAAAGGAGACAGACTTGCCAGGACTCAAGGTAAGACTTCTGAATATTCTTTCACAGGGTCTTGACAGAACTTGGACCCTATCAAGAGGGGCCCAAGACCTAGACAAAACCTGGAAAGGTTCTTTAGGAGCTGCAGGAGTTGGGGGTCCCCTACAGACTAATACAAACAGTAATAGGTCCAGCGGATATTGTTGGCTCCCAGGGTCCGTGGAAGAGTCTACCAACCAGCTGAGGATTCTAATCTGAGGGATATTCAATGAATCTAAGCACACTGAGTTCTTTAGTCCATTCACTTTATTCTTCTAAGTCAATTCTTTCTACACAGTTTCTTTTCTGCTCTCTTATTTAGCTCCTCTTGGTTCCTTCTGCTCTCAGTCCCTTCTGCTGTTCTCTCCTCATTCTACCTAGTTCTTTCCATCTCCGTCCTCATCTTTGGTCTTCTCCATCCATCCTCCCAGTGCCCTCAGAGAACCAGTATATATACCCACACAGTAGTTCTTTGGTAAAGCAATGTGAGGCTTGAAGTTTTCAGGGTCGCAGAGAGAGGTGATAAGGACCCACCCATAAAGCATTAATTGTCAGCTTCCAATTACAACCCAAAAGGGGAGTGACTAAAGGGGAGTTCTCTGGTAGGGGCAACTAAAGGCTAAGATCATTAAGGAATTTATGTGCTCAAACTAGAATCTAGAAATGGCTAGGTAGAATGTTAGGGGTCAATAAGTCACAAGAAAGTAAACTGTCTTTGGTGCCACTTTTCCCACTCATCCCAGCTGCAGCTGCTTTCTGATAGGGAAGGGGATATATGTTAGGTGGCTAAGCAACCTGTGTCAGAGCATGTAGTAGTTGGTTAGTAAAAGCACTTTCACTCAGAGTAATTGCTGAGGAGAAAATCTAAGAATAGCACCTGGCTGAGGAGGAGTAAAAACTTAATTTGCACAAGAAAGAAACTTGGCACCTATCACCTGCCTGGCCTTGTAGGCAATCTCCTTGGGTCAGTGGGAAGTAACTGCCTTAACTCAGTATCTAGCAAATGGCTAAAACTTCATCCCAGGAATGTGAGCAGTAAATCTCTTAAATTAGGGTCTTGTGTAAATAACCCAGGTTGAAGGTAAGGAGTTGAGGATTTAATTGTTAGTGGTTCTTTTCTCTATCTGTGAGATGAGCTAATGTTTATCTATGTGCAGTTTTGTCCTTGGAAAAAGGTATCTTTGCTGAAATACTTTTGTCTGGAGAATGGCCCTAGCCAGATATATGTTAATGAAAAATAAACACAGCTGGGGCAGTTGTCCAATTACCCCAAGTATATAGGGAAAGCTGTGCCCAAGATTGAGATGCAATCATGAGATTACATGTACACTAACATGGAGATGCACGGTAAATGGGGAGAATCATAGCTGTTATTGCACAAGAAGTTTACAACAAGAGACAGCCAGTTCATTCAAAAGGCAGTAATTCCACACCGCCTTGCGTGATGGTTTCCTCTAACAAACCCTTAGTTCTGATAGGTTGGCCTTCTGAACACTAGTTGTCACTGCTGTATACTCTCATGGACTTTTGCTACCAGCGGCTCTCAATAATAGTGCACTGAAGCATGGTGGGAGCTCACAACAACCCAACCTCAGAGACTGTTGCTTGGCCACCTGGCGGGCTGCTGAAGAGTCAGAACAGGTTCCTGGAACTATTTCTCCCTCTGCCTGAGCAAAACAATCCCAGGAAAGAAGGCTGGGCACAGTGGGGGCTGGGGGGTGGGGGCTTTCCGGCTGACTTCTCCCTGAGTCCATCTGTTAAATGCATTGTGGTCAGGTTTGTTTAGGACCTCAGCCAAGAACTAGTAGGAAAGATCAACCTTCTCTGCTCCCACGTTTTTCTATCAGGTCCTCTAGAGCACAGCCTAGGGCTTAGTTATCTGTGTGCCATGTCTGTAATGATACTGTTCTTCACACACTGAACAACAGGAAACCTTCTCTGAAAAAAGTGGGGGGAAGACAGAGCTAACCCATCTTCCCATGGCATGGAACAGAGGGTAGTATTCAGCATAGCATTTATTTTGAAAGAGAGACAGACAGATATTCCATGCAAACCATTCGTATCTCAGTTTCAGGCTGGGGCTACAGCTCCATTAGCAGAATGCCTGCCTAGAATGCACAAAGCCCTGGGTTTGACACATGCACCCTCAGCTCCACATAAACTGGGCGTGGTAGTGCACGACTAGAGTCCCAACACTTGGGAGGTGGAGGCAGGAGGATCCTTAGCTACATAACAAGTTCAAGGATAGCTGGAGCCACATGAGACCCTGTCTCAAAAGCAAACCTCAGCTTCAGTATTTTCTGCATGGCTATGTTCAGGTTAGCTAACCTCTCTGACTCTCAGTTCATCTACAAAATATCCATAGTAATAGTATGTGGCTAGAGGAATTGCTTCATATCTCTAGGGCTGTGAGATGTAAACATCTACGGTTGCTATAGTTGTTGCTATCAGCCACCTCCCTGGAAAACTTGGGGTTCCTGGGAAAAAGCAAGGGATGCTCAAGGTTGAGAAGTGGCACATGATGCTTGCCACAGTATGTTCCCATAGCTAAACAGTCTCGGTTTGTGTCACCCAACAGACACAGCATTCCTCTGTAGAAGTTAAAACATAGTGTTATGGAAATAACCCTGGGTTCTAAGTTCACTCCTGTGAGCTATGCTATTAGTCATCCCCCCTCAGTGCCTTGGTCCCCGAGGGACTTACTGGAGAGATGGGGGATATGGAGATGAGACAGACATCATGGGGACTTCCTTGGCTGTCAGGTGTCGGACCAACGATGGGTGTTTCTCTTGCTCATGTCTTTAACTGGGTGCTGAGAACTGAACCCAGGGCCTCCCGTGCACCAAGCAGTGCTGCCACCAAGGCTCATTTCCAGAGCTTTTCACTTTTATGTGATTTTAATTGTGAGACAGAATTTCATCAAGTGGCCCAAATTGTCTGGAAATTACTCTGTAATGCAAGTAAGTCTTGAATTTGCAATCCTCCTGCCTCGGGCTCCTGAGGAGCTAGCACTGTGGCCTGTCCAGACCCTACTTAACAGGTATTTCATTGCTGTTGTTGTCTTCTTGGATTAGCTTCAAGACAGGGTCTCATGTATCCCAGATTGGCCTCATTGTCACTACGTGGCAGAGGATGACCTTGAACTTTTGAATGACCTGTTTTCCCCTCCCAAGTGTTGGGACCCTAAGCATGTGCTGCCACACCCAGTTTCTTTGGTGCTGGGGTTTTCTTTTGTGCATGTTTGGCAAGCATTCTACCAACCAGGGAGTCTTTCTGTGCTACTGGGGTGTCTCAAACTTTGCCAACATCAGCGTCACCTAGGAGGCACAGTAGAAGACAAACTGGGGGTGTCTGGAAAGTGAATTGAGGTTTTGCCAAGTGATGCAGGCACTGCTAACCTAGAGACCACACTTGAAGATCCATTTGACTAAATACTGGAAATAAAATAGCTTAGAGTCTAGGGACAGTAGGGTTTAGAGAATAGCCTTTTTGTTATGGATGGCTGCTAAGAGTGCTTTCCTGTGCTGGAAGTGAAATCACCAAGGATATCGACATCTACCTTTCACAGATGAGAAACAGAGCTAATGTTCTTGCACCTGCAGGTTATAAAAAAGCAGAAACTGAGAAGCCTGTGGGTTCACCATCTGGGTGATTAGTAGTAAACAGTGCCGGTCCATCGGCCAGCACTAGGGTCAGGCTGATGTCAGCCTTGCGGGGTGTTTTCCTCCCTCTGGGACCTGCTAGCACTGTGGAGCACTGGAATGAATTTACTTGTATTTGTCACCTAGAGTGGCCAGATAGCTTCCCACTTGCATATTGCTAGAATCTGGTTCACAATATTTTGTGCTGTAGCATTTGACATCCTGCCAACAAGGAGTGTACAGTTTATGTGCAATAAGATTAAACAGGAGTGAATGCTGACCGGTGAGGATTTTCCCTCATCTAAATGGGCAATATTTCTACCTAAGTCTTTAATGTACTAAGGAGGCTGCCTGCCTCCTGCCACACATCTTTCCTCATCAGCACAGGAAAGTTAAGATATCCTCCAGAGCTACCTTATCAGAGGTCAAGTGGGGACCATGGCCACATTGTTCTCATCCAGTAGCCTCAAACACTGAAGATGGAAACCTTGTGCTATGAAGGGTTAGGCTACCCTCAGACTCTCCAGTCTCCTAGAAATAGCAGTTAAAATATAGATGAGCATAAACCAACAAAGTGTCCACGTGGTTCAATTCTCAGTACCCACATGGCAGCTTACAACCATCTGTAACCCCTGTTCCAAGGGAGCTGACACCCTCTTCTCACTTCTTCAGGTACCAGGCACACACATGATGCACAGAAATACATAAAAGCAAAACCTATGTACATAAAAAAAGTTAAATAATTTTTAAGAGACCTAGATTTTCAAGCAGTAGGCCCTGCTCATTTGAATATTGTATCCCCAAAAACATGTACTCCCAGGAAACAAAGATACTTAACTTGCATTTTAGTAAAGACATCAATAGACATAAGATGGATTGTTGATTTATCAGTGGAAATTGCATCTTGTGTGTTTTGTAGCAGCTCTACATCATGAACAATGAGGAGAGTGTGTCTGCTGTTAATAACCCAGATAATGCCCATGTCACCGAGCCTCCATATGCTATGACCCCTGGAAGCCAGAAGAAGCCTTTGGAAAGGAATACTTACCAGGCACCAGCAAAAATGCTCCGCTTTACAGGGAGTGGAAACTTACAGAACCCATACTGTGTGGTCCAGCATCCAGCTGGAATGACAGGCTTGCAGGCCCAGCCCACTCGGATACCATACTCAGGGGGAACGGCTAATGTGCAATGCTCACCAGAAATAACAACTGCCCCAGGGCCAGCAAAGACAGCAAGCCATCTACAGTGGAACATGTCCTCTATGTCCTGTTCTGAATTTAATCCCAAGAAAGTCATAAATGAAGAAGTCAGAACATTAGGGGTGAGTCTGATGTCATCTCTCCAGCTTTGTAAGCCCATCTCTGATGCCTCTGGGCTCAGAGGGCAAAGGAGGGTAGCAGCTTCTAAAGGCTAGGTCTGGCTGGGACAACCCTACAAATGGCAGTCCCACCCTGTGTTCCTCTGTCCCCCAGTTCATTCCATGGGCTTTTAGGGAGGCTATAAAATTGACCAGCTATCCCTTTCCTAGCTGTCAGGGGCGAGGATCAACAACACTTTCACTAAAAAAGACTATTAACCCAGGCAAGTGGGTTAGAGCCTCAGCGGCTGCCTCTCTATCATAAGATCTAGTAAGCTCCTCTATATCCTATGAGCTCTGAGGTTGCTGATTTCCTCTTCCACCAGGGGTATTCCTGCCTCTTTCCTGTATCTTCTAGCTTCATTTGACACCTTGAAAAGATCAACTTCGTTCTATTTTTTGAGGCAGAAACAAGGTCAGCCCTGTGTTCCACCAGATGCTAGCCAACTCCTAGTGAGATGCCTGGCTCATAGCCAGTTCTCCATCTCAGTGCCCTCACTCACTCACTCAGCATGGAGAACACTCTATGAGGAGACAGAGTCAGAGATGACCAAGACATGGTCCTCAAAGACCAAGAGGGGGGATTTATTTCATAGTAGCTATTATAAACTGTACCTTCTGGCAATCTCCATGAAGACATCTGCATAGCTTTGGCATTCAAACAGTACAGATGATCCAGCATCCTTTGAGTGGTTGTGACCCTCCTAGAGGAAAGAGGACCAGGGCAGGTTCAGGAAGGAGACAAACTCATTGAAACCCTGTTCTACAAGAGGGGTGGACAAGATCATGATGGGAAAAACCAAGAGACAGCTGGCCCAAGCTAGTGGGAGCCCACAGACTCTGGACTGACAGCTGGGGAGCCTGCATAGGACCACACTAGGCCCCTTGAATGAGGGTGACAGATGTGTGGCTTGAACTGTTTGTGAGTCCCCTGGCAATCAGACCAGAATTCATCCCGAGTACATGAACTAGCTTTTTTAGAGCCCATTCCCTAGGGTGCCATGCCTTACTCATCCTTGATGCAGGGCGGGGGGCTTGGGCCTGCCCCAACTTGGTATGCCAGCCTATGTTGAATACCCAAGGGAGGCCTTACCCCCTATGAGGAGTGGGTGAAGGTGGGATGGAGGGAGGT